ACTTTCTGGATGACCATGGAGTAGCTGCAAAAACATGTTCTGTCATTGGACACTGTCTACTCTCTCTGTTCTGTCTTGTGTGCCCAGAATCCATTAGTTTTTGTTGGGGAGGCTGAGACACATAAGGTTACCTGGAATTCAGAAGAGATTCTAGCCTGAGTACTACTCTCCAGACTTCCCTTGCAAGCAAACCAATAACTAGGCTTTTTTTTTCTTTAATTTTTTACAGTATATTATTGTCTATATGGGAGTGTTAGTTGGCTTTAATTTTGTCAGATTTCTTAAATACTATTGACCTTATTGTAGTGAATGTTACGAGGTACATAAAAAGATTCCTTCCTCATGGTAAGGTCAAGAGAGCCCTACCAACAAGCAGCCTCTTCTTAGTTCCCAGGTGGTTTTAACAGAAAAAAAAAAATGGGATAATGTCTCAGTGTTTCATATAAAGTTCTTGGACACTAAAAGTTATTTTCCATCCTTGAATTACATAATGAATATTTGGAGAAATAGTCTGACATTGATGTTTGAGATGGACTACAGTGTTAGGAGACAATAGTTATTCACAAGGCCTTGCGTAAGGGTGGGGAGGGCATAGTGAAGTACAAAATTCAGTCTTTGGAGATCTTTGAAAAAATTCTATTCTGCCTGTAGAGCTATGTTTCTCTTTATTAATAAGCTTATGTAAGTGATTTTGCTCAGGTTTAGAACTTTTTTTTTTTTTAATAGAGGCATGTTTTATTTATTTATTTGTTTGTTTTGTTTTATACATGCACTGGGCACAGTCAGAAGCGCGGGAGGGTGAGAGAATTCACCAGAGCCAGAGCGGGGAGCAGAGCAGGCAGAAGGACCGAAGTACACTGCTGAGGGGAGCAGCGGGCGGCAGGAGAGGTCTGCACGCCATGTGGGACCCTCCTCCGGTGGCCGGGGAGCAGCCGGGGATTGAACCGGCGCTGCAGAGGCTGTGGGCAGCTTCGCAACCCAGCGCTCAACCACTGCACCACCGGGGAGGCCCAGTTTAGAAGTATTTTTTTATAGATTGGGGGCAGGAATCAAGGCAGGGAATGATAGTGAGTTAGAGCAGTTGCGTGATAGTGAGGAGAGCAGGTCATGCAGGTTTATTACATTGGAGAAGAGATAGCAATGAAAAACAGAAACAGGCCACTAAATCTGAGAATCTGAAAGAAAAGAATCAATATGGTTTTGCCTAGGCAAGTGGCAATTGTATTAGTAATTAGGTTTCAGAATAAAAGTATGTATTATAGGATTTTTTAGGCTATTGTGACCAAGAAATGCCACAGGTAATTCTCATAGTTATTTGGAGAAAATCTGAAACTTTTCATAGAGAGTATATTTAAATTATATGGGTGGATGTCAGGTGGTTAAAGTGAGAACATCAGTAGTTGAATTGTTTATTTACACTTACTTGTATAATGTAACCTCTCAAGCACTTTGAGAACACTAGTTGCATGGTTTTTATTTCTTGGCATCTAATCAGTAAGACTTTTAAAGAAAGCAGTGGTTCCCATCAAGAAGACCATGAGGCATTTGAAAGTTTAATGGAAACTTTCAGCATTTGAAAGTTTAATGGAAATCATTTATTTATCCAGTTTAAGAATATACAAATTAAAATTCCTTTGTCTTTAGCTGGATTCAGCCAAAGTGTTTAATACTAGGTCTTCTCCCTTATTGATTAAGTACTTTACTAGTAGTTATACTTTGTGAGTTTATAAAAGTGAAAATGAATTTAATATATGCACATTAGAAATGTGGAGCTTGTGAAAGGAAAAAACAAATAGAAAGAGGGAGTCTGTTTAACAGGTGGATAGAGATTATTAGAGAGCTTTATTTCTTTATTTGCTAGAAATTGATGGTTTAGACTTTATTAAATAGAACACAACTTATATTTTAGTGCTTAGCTGTCAGTGGAGTATATCTATAAAAATGCCACAAAAGACTGCTGTTATTTGTGCACAAAGTCACACTTTCCACTGACTGTTGTGTCTAAGGTTTTTGTTCCTGTTTTGCTTTGATGGTTGATAGCTTGGAATGGTGTTCAACAACATTTCTGGACATAACTTTCTTGTCTGTTTCTCCAACTCTTAGAATAGTGCTTGGTGCTCAATAAATGCTTATTGAATAAAATTACAAAATACTACTTGTAAATATAAAGTCAAAGTAAGTTATTAAAATACAAGGTGTTAAGATAGAAGGGAATTAAAAGAATAATTGCATTTTGGCAGTCAGCACCAGAGTGACATTAATGTAGAGATTTAGAAGATTATTAGCAATACTGAAAACAAATAACACTGTACCAATCCATAAAGATTTATTTATTTTATTTTCTTTTTTTTTTTTTTTTTATAGAGGCATGCTTTATTTATTTGTTTGCTGGTTTCTTTGTTTGTTTTGTTTATACATGCACTGGGTACAGTCAGAAGCACGGGAGGGCGAGAGAATTCACCAGAGCCAGAGCGGGGAGCAGAGCAGGCAGAAGAACCGAAGTACACTGCTGAGGGGAGCAGCGGGCGGCAGGAGGGGTCTGCGCGCCATGTGGGACCCTCCTCCGGTGGCCGGGGAGCAGCCGGGGATCAAACCGGCGCCGCAGAGGCCGCGCGCAGCTTCGCAACCCAGCGCTCAACCGCTGCGCCACCGGGGAGGCCCTATTTATTTTATTTTCTTAGCTAGTTAACATTCAGCTTTCTCAGATGTTAAAATTTCGCCCTATAATCTAGATTTGATGTTTTATGCTTTGCTTTGTTATTAAATAAAATCATTTCAGACATTCTATGGTATTATGAAGAGTGTTGCCATAGCAAGGAACTGCTGAATGACCAGGAGACATAGCGACCTTTAGGACTGTTCTCACTGGCCTTCCCACCGTGTTGTCTAGGAGTTACAGATTCAATTATGGAAGCTTATAACTTCACTCGCAATTTTGAAATCCTGAAGGAACAAACCCAGGCAAAGAAGTTACTGGAATTGGAACCTGGTGTTGTATGTGTGGAGGGGAAAAACAATGCTGCTTGAGGAGTAGAATTAAACTCTCATGTAGAGCATCCTTGCAGGGACTCCAGAGGGAGCATGCCAGTGCTAGAGGACTGTAAAGTAGAAAACCTTCTGGTCTTTATCCAAACCCCAGTATTTACTTGCATCTCTCTGTCTCACATTTAGAAACCCAAGATAGTTCCATTTGGAATAATTCAACAGATACTTAAGGAGTGCCTGCAATATGCCCGATATTATTGGCCACGCACTAAGTGCTAGGACTATACTAATGAAAATATATGCAACCTCCCTATTCTTGTGCAGTCTAGTTTTTAATTGGGAAAAATAGAGAAAAACAAATATATACTGTCAGGTAGTATCTGTGTCTGGTAGCATCTACTGTTGTTTCAGGTATACCTTGCAGTGTAATCAACAACACCAAAATGTACTGGCGTAAAACAACTGTTTTATTATTTCTTACAATTCTGCGTTTAAGAGATCACCTGCATGGTTCTTTAACTGGTCTCTTCAGGGGACTCTCCAGTGGCTGTGCCTGTAATGCCCTGCATGGCTCCCTCTCTGAATGAGGTTGTCAGATACTCCCAGTTGTTATTTGTTTATGGAGACCTCAGTTCTTTCCCATGGTTTTTGCCTTGTGATTCAGGAGTGTCACAGCATGGTGACTAGGTTCTAAGAGGGAGGGTTCCAAATATGCCAAGGCAAAACCTGCAGATTTTAAAGGCCCAGCTTCAGAAATTACACAGTTACTTCCACCATATTTTCTTGGTCAAAATATGTCATAGGACAAGGAGAGTAAACTTTACCTCTTAATAAGTGGTGGCAAGATCACTTTATAAAAGAGTGCACGGAGTAGGTAATGCTGGGCTATATGTAGAAACAATCAACCATATTGTTGTTAAAAAACTAAAAATCAGGGGTCTCCTGGTGGCCAATGGTTTAAGTCTCAGTGCTATCACCACCTCAGAGGCCAACCTCTATAGCCTGTGTCCGATCCCTAGCCAAGGTGCTACCCACATGGCACAGCAGACCTCTCCTGTCTCTCCCACCGCTGCCCTCAGCAGCGTATTTTGGTACATTTGCCTGTTTTGCTCCCCACTCTCTCTGGTGAATCTTCTCACCCCCCATGACTCTGGCCTGTACCCCACTTCTTAAAAAAAAAACAACAAACATTTAAAAAAAATTTAAAAATCATGCTGCTAGAATGTCTGCAACAACAACAAAAAAATCAAGTTAATAAGGGGGTAGAGGAAATGGGGGGACGAAAGTACAGTATTTTCTAGGAAATGAGGTATCATATCAGATACCTGAGGGAAATGAGAGGAAGAGAGCCAGGAAAACCATAAAGACATCTTAAAGCAGAATATTTCAGGCAGAGGGAACAGGAGGCCTTGAGATGGAGAAGCCTGGTATGCTGGAAGAGAATAGTAAGCGGGGCGGGGGGGGGGGGGGGGGGGGAAACTGAATGGGGTGATAGGCGAGTTGTAGGACAGGAAATTGGAAAGTGGGTGTGGAACAGATTATGTAACTTGGGCAAATACTCTGGGTTTTCTGTGAGTAAGATGAGAACCTACTGGAAGATTCTGAGAAAAGGAGTTATATGGTCTGATTTAAATTTTATAAGAATTCTGTTCTGAGAATCTTTGGCTACAGTTCTGAGAATAGACTAAAAAGGACAACAGTGGAATGGGGAGTCAGTCAGCAGGCTAAGTAGTGCTAAGTCGTGGGGAGTAGTTGGATTTTGGATATATTTAAGAGTGGGACTGACAGGGTTTGTTGATGAGGGTGGATATGGGTTGAGGAAGAGGGATAAAGGATGACTCTCAAAGTTTTTGCCCTAGGCACCTGGAAATTGGAATTTCTTTTACCTACATGGAAAGGCTTGGGGGAGGAGCAGGGTAGAGGTAGGATGCGAGACTTGTGTTTTTGGTTATGTTATGAATCTAAGAAGACATCTGGGGGAAAACAGGTTACTAACTGTTGCTTCCTCATTGCAGGTGTGACTTTGAATGCTTCAGATCTGATCACTATGGTACGAGAACGAAAATGCATATTGTGCCACATTGTGTACAGCTCAAAAAAGGTAATAATAGAAGAGGGAGAGTCAGACTTTTATGAGTAAAAAGTGACATCATATGAAATTTATAGATGGGTACAAGCTTTTAATAGCATTTTATTTATGCCTCCTTTCACTGGTTATTTTCTCATTACTGCCTCATAAAGTCAGTACACTATATTACTAAACCATAATTACACTATTAAACTGTATTATCCACCCAGAATTTGAGGAGACTCAATAGTAGATAATAAAGATAAATTTACCTAGTAACCAGTTATAGAATAAATGCCTTGAAATTCATGTTATTTGAGATTCTCTTACTTTCCTTGTGGTTAGTTAAGGATACAGCATTTATTAAATCTGCCTGCTTTCTGTTTCTGTTTGTCAAAGTGCAGCTTGGAAATGGTATTAACAGTACCTGAGATGTCCACTAGGTGGAGATGTTGCTCAAAGAAAAACTCATTTTTAAGTGCTAATTTACCTGTGCCTTAGGAAACTTGGCTGTAATTTGTTTTACTTTTTTGCTTTTTCTCACCTTTATTCTTTGCTTTCAGAGTAGTGCTGCTAGTTTAAACACTGAGGGATTTTTTTCCTGTACTTTCAAGATGATTGTCATTGGAAATTCAGAGAACTGTGATAATTAGCATGAGCAAGGTGAGCTAGGGAAATCTGAGTGACCCTTAGAAGATGTTTGGTAGTAAGATGGTTTAAAAGAAGTAGAGAATAGATATTTCAGGTGGGAGAAGATACACAAAAATACAGAAATAGGATCTAGTTTAACAGTTTTTGGAGTGGGTCAGAAGACTGATTAAAACAGTTTGTCTTGGGAATAGTGGGGCTACAATTTGTAATTTAGGTGAAGACACTTGATAAAATGTTGAATGCCAGACCCAGGAGTTTAATTATGATCCATCCTTAGGGTGGGGTGAAGTTTTTTTTTTTTCCTTTCCCATTGTAGGATTTCTGTTAGTGACTGATAAATCAGTTGAAATTTTAAAATCATGTTTAATAATATACTTGCTACCTTTTACAAAAATAAAACAGCTGCTCTTTTAGTTTTGAAAATGATCTAGACCAGAGTTTATTAATATTTTCAATAAATAAAAATCCATTGTGTTTCAGATTGGAGGGAAATGGAAATTGAGAAGGTGTGAGATGGGTAGTCAGACATAGTGTCAGACTTTCACGGAAGAGCTGATAGAGATAAGCTGCCTCATCTCAGGATTTTGCCACTTTAAATCTTTTTGGGCGTTTTTCTACTCTAGTGTAAAAATGTGTTTTCTTCTCTTCATGCTTTTCCATGAATCCTAATAAAGGGGAAAAGCAAACTGTAGGTTTTTAAGCACAGGAATGGCATGACTTATCCCCCAAAAAATTAATTGGTGTAAGAAATTAACAGAATGGGTTCATTGAAAGGGATAACTGATATTTTCAGGTAGACCACGAACAACTTATGTTGAAGCAGTGCTTCAGGTTTCCCAAACTAGTTTAACTTTGGCTTCTCCAAATACTCTGTGAAAGAGAAAAGGCTCTTAAGTGTGGTAACTTAAGTGTTGGAAAAACTGTAACATCCCTGAATCTTCTGAGGCTCATTAACTTACGAAAAATTGAGAAACCCTGGAACTAAAAAATACTTAAAAAATTTTGTACTATAAAATGTTTTCTAAATTCAACCATTAAATCCTTTCCTCCCCCTCCTCTCCCTCTATTAAGAAAAAACACAATGCTAATTAATACACAATGAATTAATTAGAAGTTTGATGACTGAGCAGGTATGCATTTGGGGCTGTTACTTTAATCCTATGTCTGTGGCCCATTGTGTTATTTTGAAAGCTCTGTTGTCTCACTGTATTCGTTCCTTGCAGCAGGTTGGAAGAGGATTTTGCATATAAATTTAGGAGACAATCAGTGAAGTATTTTAGAGGATCAAAAATGATGTTAAAACCAGTTTTGAATGATAGCATTTTTTATAACTGAAATAAAATTGGTTTTTATATCAGAGTGAATAACCTATTTCATAACAGTGGATACTGTTTTAGTCAAGAATAGTTTCACTATGTGAAACAGAAGCCACTTAAATTTAGCTCATGGAAAGGGAATTTGGCATATGTAAACCTAGTCCAAGGAGAACAATAGCAAAGAACAATTGAACAACAGGGAGCATAGGGATTTGAGCAAATGTTGTATATTAAGAGCTCATGGATTTTTTCATTTTATATTGTGTCACTAATGTGATTCAGTTTTTCAGTGTTCATTCTAGTTAGTGGCTAATCACCGTAGCTGGAAGGGGCCATGTTTAAAGCTGTGTTCTCCAAATGAAGCATTTGTAGACATAGGAAGAAAATGATGGTTATCTTCAGTAAAATTGCTGTTTAAAGTGTTTCAAATCACAACCCTGTTTCGTTATGCTGTAGTAGATAATTAAAAGTAAGAATAGGTTGTTAGGTTGTCTTTTTTTAAGATTATTTATGCCTACAAGAGCTGGGGTACAGGTCAGAGATGCTGGGGGCCAGGAGAGTTGAGAAGATTCACCAGAGACAGAGTGGGAAACAGAATAGGCAGACTGACCGAAATACACTGCTGAGGGGAGCAGCGGGCGAGACAGGAGAGGTCTGCTGCACCATGTGTGTTGCTCCCTGGCAGCCAGGTATCAAACTCATGCTGCAGAGGCTGCGGATTGTTTCATAGTGTGGTGCTTAACCCCTTGCACCACCAGGGAGGCCCTAAGTTGTCTTTTTGACAAAATGACTGTATAATGAAAAATTTCAGTGCAGTAGATGCTTACAGTGTCACATGGGATTGGAAACATGGCTTTGGTGTCAGATCTGCCAGGATTTGATCCTCGTTTGACCACTTGATTAGCTATGCGAGGGCAATACTGTGAACATTTTTACATTTATCCGTGCAATGCCTGTCTCTGTACTTGGCATATAAGCACTTGATAAATATTTGGTGAATAAGCAAGTTACCTTCTTTGCATCCTTGTGTCTTAATGGCATTTTTAGTACTCCTTCAGCAGTTGGCGGTTCAAGTGAGAAAATGTCAAGGCACTTAGCAAAAGCACAGATAATAGTAACACTCAACAATAGAAACCCTTTTATATGTAAACCATCATTTTCTAATTATGGTATGCAAGCTATATATACTTGGGTGTGGCAAAGTGATAGAGTTTTACATGTTTTGGGGGGATGTCTGTGTATGTGCATGTGCATTTTTTTAGTGGAAGTGCTTTCCACAGATTTTATTTCCTTTCCACTGAGGGTGACATGGAGGAAGGGGGAGAATCTAGTAAATTTTCAAACTGTTTATTCGAACCAAGCATCAGTTGGGGGAGGAGGTGGGGAGGCGGTAGTAGTCAGGATGAAGGTGTGATTGAGCTGTTATGTTCAAAGCATTTTTTTTTTTTAATTTCCTACTCTATCCTACCATAGAGAAACTTTTGTTATGCTTGTAACAGTACTGACAACTGTATTCCAGGCCCTGACCAAGACGTAGATGAGAGTTGTTGCTTACTCATAAGAAACTTTCAGTTGAGTGGGGAGAGTACAGTAGTCCCACTTTATCCACAGGTTTCACTTTCTGCAGTCTCAGTTACCCATGGCCAATGGCAGTCCAAAAATATTACCTACAATAAGATATTTAAGAGAGAGTGAGCATGCACATTCACACAATTTTTACTGTTGTATATTGTTATAATTGTTCTATTTTCTTATTGTTGGTGATCTCTTATTGTGCCTAATTTATAATTTATCATAGATATGTATCTGTAGGGAAAAAAACATTGTGTATAGAGGTTTCAGGATTATCTGCATTTTCAGGCATCCACTGGGGTAGAACCCCCTGCACCCCTCTCATGGTAAAGAGGGGAACTGCTGTATGGAGAAACATGCCCAATTAGTTGTATAACTTCAGAGTTTTTTTAAATGAAATTTTAAAAAATTCATTGTTTGGAAATAGAATTTAAAAAACACCACTAGTTTGTTCTTTAATCATTTGCATCCTGAAGACAATGCGCTCTCTCACATTTTCAGGAAGCCTCTTAAATAGGTGGTAACAGTTTCTTTAATGCCAAAAACACAGCTAAAGGATTATTGTATTTTAAAATAAACTGATCTCAATATTGAATTGAGAAGAGTCACCACAAAATTACTTTGACACAAGGAGCTTCAACCTCAATTGTTGACTGAGGAATTTTCTTTCCCAAAGCAATTCCCTTTAATCTGCTTTCTTTAATTTTGAAGGAGATGGACGAACACATGAGGAGCATGTTGCATCACAGGGAACTTGAAAACCTGAAGGGCAGGTATGGGAACCGCTATCTTCCATAAACTTGTGAGTGTTGGGGGGTCTGTGTGCTGATAAGCCTGCCAGCTCATTCCTTTTTTTTTTTTTAAAGATTTATTTTATTTATTTATTTATGCATACAAGAACTGGGATGTTGGCCAGAGGTGCGGGGGTTGGGGGAAGGTGAGAGGATTCACTAGAGACAGGGTGGGGAGCAGAAGAGGCAGATCTACTGAAATACGCTGCTAAGGGGAGCAGTGGGCAAGACATAGGAGGTCTGCAGCACCATGTGGGTCACCTCCTGGCTGGGGATCAACTCATGTCACAGCGGCTGGTGATAGCTTGATAGTGCTGAGACTTAACCCTTGCATCACCAGGGAGGCCCCTGCCACTCATTCTATAGTAATCATTGTAAATTAATATTGTCTCATGGCATAGAATTGCCTTCTTAGAATTAATAGCAACTGCCATTCATTTTTTTGAATATGCAAAAGGGTAAATCTTTCTGCATTTCAAATGATAATATTCACATCAGCTCTAGCAAGTGGATTACAACA